CTTCCGACTGACCTCCCGGTCGTCCCCGCCGCCTCTGCTCCTAGCCAAAGCCAAAGCGCTCACCTTTGTGCGTGGCCCTGCCTCCCCTAAGCGCTGGGACGGCTTCGATTTAATTCCCACTGCAGGGCAGGTTGCATTTGTACGTGGAGGAGGCTTTGGATAAAAGCACCAGCAGCGCCTCTGGAGGTGCTGACATGCCAGCGGATGTGCGAGAGCACGGGGGTCAGGGTGTGGGGGCACGGCCCGGGGGACAGCAGCCCTGGAGGTGCTGGTTTGGGGTAGATTAGAGATGAAAGAGCAGATGGTAGGAAGGAAACCATCGGGATGGAAGGGCTCGTGCCTGACCGTGATCCCTCAGCCGGCCGGACACGTGCTCAGCCTGGCTGCCTCCTGCGAGTCTCAGCTGCTGGTGAGGTCCATGCAGGGCCCTGCCCCGCTAGCAGCCAGCCACCAGCATGAGCCGTGCTGGGTTTACTGGGGACACCACCATGTAGTGTCCCTGCATGGGGCACCATGCTGAGCTACTCCGACTTATTTTACTCACCTGCCCTTGAGTAAGATGGAGCAACCCCCAACCATTCTATAATTATTTTCTGGGGGATTTTCTCGCTTTAATTTGAGGGTGCAAGATGTATTTGTGTCTGCCAGGGAGCACAGAGCCTCCCAGTACCCAGGCTGCTGCTCTGCCGCAGCTGGCTGTGTCCAAGGCTTGCAGGTCAGGTTGCTTCTCCTCTCCCAGCTCAAAAAAAAAAGCATGGGCTTTTCGTTGCACAGCAGAGCACTTGGGCATGGACTGTTTCCCTGCCACTCAGCACGTGCTGACATAACGTTTCCTAGCAATAAACTAGCGCCTTCATTTAATTTCTAAATAAAACTCCAAGCCCCATAATTGCTACTTGATGATTTATCTTCCACTGACATGTGTTTGGATGCCGGACAGGCCTTTGAAACAAGTGCTGTCAGCATTAAGAGGAAAGTTTATGTAACAGCAAAGGACGGAGCTGAACCCAAGCCCAGGCCCTTCGCAGCGCTGAGGGAGTCTGGCTCATTTGTGCTGGGGTATAACGAGCTGGGAGGCAGCTCCTGAGAGACGAGACACTGATAGGTTAACTAGTTTTGGCTCTGGATTAATGAACAACTTGCCCCATGGCTGTCGCAGCCACCGGCTCCGGGGAAGGGAGGGAGGATTTGCGCGGACGAGTGGCAGCTTGTCTGAGGCTGCTGCAACACGGTGGAGATGTCCTCACTGCAGTGACCCACTGAACGGCGCGTGGGTCCGCCAGAAAGACCACGCATGGCCCCAGGCAGAGGGCTCTGCTTCTCACATCGTGTACGGGGGTCCCGACGCGCCAGGGCAAGCCCCTCTGCTAAACACGTGGCGATCACAGTGCTTAAATATCAGCCAGCTCTCGGGACCCGGGATGGCGCGTGGGGACCCTCTGTGAGCCCATCAGCATGACATGCCTGGTTTGGGGGAACCTGCTCAGTAACCAGGACCCTTAGGGTAAAAGTAATGGTGAAAAATGAGATGACAAACGTGATAAGGTGACAAAAGTAACAATGAAACCAAAGAGCGTTTGTTGAGATTGCAGGGGGACCAGGTGTCAGCTCTGTGGCAATTTGTTTTAACACACGAAGGGAGAGCAATGACTCCGAAGCGAAGGGTGAGACGCGGGTTTCTGCCTGCTGACAAATTCTTCCCTCCAGGATGCAGGTCTCAGACCTGCAGCTCACTGGTTTCCACTGGCAAAGTGCAGCTTTTCCCTGGGAAGGGAAAAAAAAAAAAGTCCCATTTTAATGACAGCCTGACACTTTGCCCCAGCATTTTCTCGTCCATGCCCCGAAGACGAAGCACTTCAGCTGCAGAAGCTGCTCTGACAGGTACCCCGGGCGCAGGGGGGCGCAGATGGGTGATCTCCAAACGTCTCTCCCCAGGCTGTGGGCCGTGCGTCTGCCCCGGCCGTGGGGCGGAGCGCAGGGCCCGGCGTCCCCGGAGCCGGCGACCGACAAAGGGTTCGACAACCCCATGTTCGACGTGCCCCTGGACACCGCGGTGAGTCGCCGTCCGCGCGGTTTCTGCCGCTGTCCGTCCCCGCTCGAGGGAGGGAGCGCAGCAAGGCCCTCGCAGCGCGAAGCATCGCACCCGCAGCGCTGCACCTGCGATGCCCGGGGCGGCGGGGGGGTTCGCCTGTCC